CACAGAAGGTTGTGGAGAATAACAGGGCTAAGATCCTATGGGACTTCTAGATCTAGATGGACAGGCAGGTACTGGCCAATTAGCCAGACATTGTGGTAGTAGAGAAGGACCAGAAGACAGTGGTGGTGATAGATGTAGCGGTGCCAAGTGACAGCAACATCAGAATGAAGGAATATGAGAAGTTGGAGAACTACCAGGCCCTGAAGGAGGAACTAGAGAGGATGTGGAAAGTAAAGGCCAAAGTGGTCCCTGTGGTGGTAGGAGTACTTGGGGCTGTGACTCCTAAGTTGGGAGAATGGCTCCAACAGATCCCAGGAACAACATCAGAGCTCTCTGTCAAGAGTGCAGTGCTAGGAACAGCTAAGATACTATGCAGAACCCTCAGACTCCCAGGCCTGTGATAGAGGACCAGAGATTGAGGAAGACACATACCACCCATAGAGGTGAGATTTTTTTTTCCATACATACATACATACATAAAACTACCCAGGAACACTTTTTTTAAAAAGAAAAGTGATATTAAAGTACTGCTTTTTTTGCAGCTCAGATAATTCCCTTGTAACTTTGTCTATTATAATGCAAAAGTAGTCCACTCTTTCCTGCGTCTGTATCTTAAAGATCAAGAAAAACTATTTTTAAGTAATTAAATTAAGTCAAATTAAAAGGAGAAAGAGTATTTTTATGTAAGCAGTGCAAAAATTGACTGAATCCTTTGTTACAAACAAGATATGAAGACCCAAATTATATAACCCTGAAATTCACCCGCCCCCACTGCAGAAATATGAATTGATCTGGTCTCCTGACTTAGTATTCCTTTGTTCTAGGGTCAGAATAACTTTTAGCCCTCAAGGTGGCAATGAATTTTCTTTAATGTGTTGTATGCTGAGAAGTCCTTGGTTCTTTGGTCCATGGTTCTCTGGTGAAATCAAAGGATATTTCACTCTTTGTGGTCTGTTATAAAGTAAATAAAATTTATAGTAAGGTGAAATTATGGGCTGTATCAGCCTATTTCTACCAATCACAACATCAACTTAATTGTTTTTGCTTTAAGGGTTACACCATTTCTGGAAAATGCACCAATCAGATAGAATATCTGCTTGCCACAGCCACGGTTTAATTTCAGCATTAAAATGAAAGCACTTCAGGTAAAGGTTTAATTTTTAAACATATATAAAAATAAATTGTATGTTATTACTATATGACCTCTATAATACCCCATTAACCACCATAAAAATCCTCCACATAGGCTGTAAATATTTTATATAAAATAACCAAAATAAATATGCAGACTAAGGACCACTAGCTCACTGGAGCTCAGACTGAGCTAAGGGATTATAGGACTGTAATTTTTGTTTCCAAATAAAAATAAAGATTTGTCCATCGTATTCATTAAAATATACATCAAACAGAAATGAAATATACTCCATGTCCCATATGCTTGAGCTACGCCATACTGGCCAGCAACCCAAATGAAGCCAAAGTTCATGTTTTGCCACTCAAAACAGATCTCTGAAGAAAAAAAGTTCATAGTTTTTACGCCCCTCTTCCCTTCACAACACGTTAATTCCAGCTCTTGAATAATACAAGACAAACAGTGACCTATTTTAGGAGAACAAATGGAAGAAAAATGAAAAACAGGATACTTGACAACAGCAAGGAAACCATGGCAACTCTACTAGAGACTACTAAGGTGCTTACTTTATTTGGGCCACTATGATCAGCAAGATGAGCCTTCAGCTTGGTTATTTCTACCTCCAACAAATGGATTACTTCCTCATAGTCCAGTTCCATTCCACGAGCTTGCTTTTGGGCAGCTTCTGCAAGATGGATTCTGCTTCTCAAGGTTCTCGTCTCCTCCACAGATGCCTTGGCTTCCTGCAGGGAATCAAATTTTATTTTTAAAATGTACCATTCAAGCTAGCTCGACACCTTCATTTTGTTTTTGACTGTGTAAAGTTACTTTAAATAAATCTTTTCTCCTTTAGAAGCAGCTAGAAAAAAGTTATTTTAAGTACTGTTTGATCCAAACAAACCCAAAGAGTTGCAAATACATGTAGAGTTTCAGAAAAATGGCTCCAAGAAAAGGTATAAAAATATTTGAGAATTCTGTAAAAGCCTGGAGACCCACAAGTTCTATGTCCCAAAGCCAACTCTATGTCCAATAATTTCTGCTTGCCACTCGTGGTCTGACAGGGTAGACAGGCTCCAGGTCCTCTCTATTAAACAGTGCTGTCCCTTCTCTGTTGTGGTCCTGCCCTATGGATCAGCCTACCCCTGGAGACTTTGTTGGCCTTTTCCAAGGCACTGAAGACTTGCTTCTTCCCCTGAGCATTGGGCCAAGTTATTTGGTGAGACTGTCTTGGGGCTGTGGTTGTATGTGTTTTGAATCACCCTGGGCACAATGTGCTGTTTTTAAATTAACTTTGTTTATTGTTGGCTATTTCAATTGACTGTTAACCATCCAGCGTTGTGTGTTGAGTGGGTGGTGATATAAATTTAAATAATAAATGAATAAAATAAAATAAAAACTATTAGGCAAAGTGAGGCATCAGGAAAAGATGGCAAATTATTATTTTGTTAGTAACTTCATTAAAAGGTACTCATTTCACATTGCTTATTTTGCCTGAACAAAATTCTTAATGTACTTAATATAATCTGATAGTTTGTGAGAAAGCAGAAGTCATGGTTGGAGAAGCTGATGAAATTCTGAAAATGAGGGAGGTGAGAAGTTTAAAGATTTAAAGTCAATTAACTACTAAATAATTACTAACTAAATAACCCTAACATTACATAAAAGAAATTAAGACAGAAGAGATATAAGTATTTAGCAGAACATTTTGCTACATAAAACTAACAGTTAAAAGGTTGGAGAGAAGAAAAAAGAAGGTTTGGCTGACTCTGAAAAAACAACAGAATGTGGATCAAATGTGCTTCTCCAGGGAAGGTCATCTCAGCAGACCTATCCCACCTCGCCTTCATTGTTTGGGTAAAAACACAAAATGGATAGAAATTATGTGTAAATGCTCTCTCTCTCTAAAAAGTGAGACTTTGGTCTAGGAGAAAGATGTCAGGACTCTGTGAATCAACACAGAAAGAACAGCACAAAATAATGATTCCATGCCAATCTGTACTCAGGAGGCTATCTCAGCCTCACATTCCTCCCTCATTATATTGTGAGGAAAAACTGGAATAAACCCTATGTACATTATACTGGAAGGATAGAATTCATTTTATATTCACACACACACACACACACACACAATAAAATGGCAATATTGTTTTCGGCATCTCATTTTATTAGGGAATATACTTACATTATAAACTATGCAATCAAGGTATGAAATATGGAGAACAGTTATCTCGGACTTCTAGGGACAGCAATGTGGAACCCCTCTCCAGGGCAAGGATCACCCACAAGTTTGCTCCATACAGAATCTCCCTGCGAAGAGATCACAAAATAGTGATCTCCAGTGGGTTTGAGAGTTCTGGGAGCCGAGGGAAAAACATTCTGCCCAAGCCGGAGTTTGGCACCTTTCAAAGGGACACTGGGTCCGCCTTCTTCCTCTCTTAATTACTTTAGGAACTTGCTTTTTATGGATTACTTAGAAGTTAAGAACCTTCTGAAGGGCAAGTTTTATTACACTGGGAGAATCTCCTTCTGCCTTGGATGAAAGAAACCACATGTAAGTCTAAGGATTAAAAAGAAAAAAAAAACTTTTTGAACAGCAAAAGAGTTTGAAAAGTTAAGGGGCTAGATGAATTTGAAAGAATATTTCCTGTGGGGTGTTTAAAAATTACAAAAAAAATATGAAGATTTTGAAATTAATTGTAAGAAATCCTCCCATGGGAAAGTTTCCTTGTCTGGAAAATAAACAGATGATAAGGGGACTTGACTGAGGGAACCAGAGAGAACAACCAATTACATTTAAAGAGGAAGAGACCCATTAATACAATGGAGCAATACTATATGACTATAGAAGAGTTTAAGGTGGTTTGGGAGCAGTGTACCCAGAACTTAGTGAAAAGACTGTCTGACACTTTAATAGGGGATATAGAAGAACATCAGATTTCATTAGAGAAAATGAGGGTGATTTGAATGTGGATTTGGTGTTTAAAAAATGCTGGATTATAAAAGTGATTTGGAAAAAAGATGTCATGGATCTGAAAATGGAAAATGATGCTAAAATGGATTTACAGATGAAAGGGGACATACAAATAATAAACCAGAAGAGTGATTTCGAAAGCCTTTTTATTATGGATTTACAAAAGGGATGTGTTAAATTAATGAAGCTGTTCCTGAGAAGAGACAAAGAAAAACTACTGAGGCTGTTCTTGAAAGAAGACAAAGAGAAAATGATAAGGAATCAATGTGTGGGACAATATTTGTCAGGATTAAACTTTTTAAAAGTAAAAAGAAGGTTTATAAAGTGAATCTATTTGACTATGGTTAAAATATAAGTTGTGGTTTCCGGTAGTTACAAATGGGATTTTTTTACCAGGATCGAAGGGCGAGGTTTTTAGGAGTTGCGTGTAAGTGGAGAGAGATTTCTTTTGCTTTATTTTTTACAGAAAGTGATAAACTGGACTATAAGATAGATTTCTTTGATTAAAGTTAAAATAAATATGTTGTTACCTTGGGTAGCCCTAAATGGACTTTTGCTAATTAGGACTGAAAGATGAATTTTTACAGTTTGATTATTGATAAGAGATGAGATATGGGAAGAAGAGAATTCTTTTATGAAATACTAGAGAAGGTGTTAAATTACTGAAGCTGTTTATACTTGCCTGGAGGGAGGGGGGAGTAATGTTTTATATATCTTCTTTTTTTCTTTTCTCTATCTCTCTGCATGTCTCTTTTTTCTTTTTTTACTCTTTATAATTTCTTTAGTTTGTATTAGTCTTTTATCCTTGTATTTGAAAACTCTAATAAAAAATTGTTATTAAAAAAAAGAAAACGGTTATCTCAGAAACAAGGAATATCTCTTAGTGGAAAAAAATCCAGATTAAATTATTTAATTTAACTTCACAAATACTCTACACACTTGTTTGGTAATCTGCAGCTCTTCAGCTAGTTGTTTTCTCACACGTTCTGACTTTGCCAATTCTTCCTGTAACACACAGAGAGAAAAGGTAAGTTAAGCAGTAAATTCAGAGGCTTTCCCACCACCACCCATCACTGACCCTTTGATACAAGCAAATCTGATTGGTCAAAGCAACTACCAATAAATGATTTCAGCTTCCTAGAAAACAGACCAAAGCCTCTGAGAATCTGAAACCTCCTTCTCAAAGCATGGTCCTCCCCTGCTTCCTGCCATATCTTTCTCTTCCTGCTACGACAGGTGTTCCCATCTGCCTTCTACTCCCATCAGTCCTATGTTCCCCAACCCCTAGAGACCCCTCCTATCCAATATCATACCACATAATCCAGCCCTAATCATCCCACCATCTGGCCTGGAGATATCCCAAGGGGCTGCATCTGATTAATACTCATCAGCTCCCTGACCCTACCCACCATAAACCAGACTCAAAAAATTGATTATTCACTTATAGCTTTCAGCGACCACCTGTCAGAATCTGTTTCTTTCAGGGACATAGGTGGCAATCACCTAAACCACTATCAAGGAAAAGGTGCACAGACTCCTCCTTTACTCACCTGGAGAGGAACCAGTCACTTTTCACTCCATTCCACCCAAACCAACTTTATCAATAGAGGCAAGTCAACCTTAATCTCAATATATTGGTCCACCAATGAAAAGGTGAGTGTTTCTAATTGTGAAAAAAAATGAAGAGGGCTGCAACTTCCTCTTATTTGGGATCAGATAGTTGAGACAGAATAGCACTCTGAAGATCCCTAAGGAAAATTTCCTGTTGCATTGCTTCATTGGTTCCAGGAGTGATTTTCTTGGCAATGTACAGAGATTCAAATTAAACAAGTCACATTGTTTCAAGTCACTCATTCCGTTCAGACATTTCAAATTCTGCTTACTCACAGTATGTGCATATGTGCATATTTGCAGACACACAATACACGAATGCACAGAAGCAGCATTTCAGCTCCTCCTGGTTCTTCAATAACTATAGCTACATTATAGGGAATATCAAGCTCTCCAGACTGCTAATCAAAATCAATTATTTTCCTTGCAGGTTTACTAAAGCAATCAAGTCAAGAGTGACTTGAATCAGTCAGAAGAGCAGATTAGAAACGCCTCAGCTGCGTGCTTTTAACAAGAGAAAGTCATTCATCAGATTGGCTGGTTTGTTCTCTTCCACAGTGTTGGGGAGCAGCTACTATGTACAATCCCTTTCCCCCCTTCATTCTGCTTGTCCTTTTAAAAAAATTATGGATTTACAAAACAGCATAGCTGTTCGTGCTTTTCAAAAAATTATGGATGTGCGACTGTCACATGAACAAACAGCAAATACAGTTAGCTTGCAACACTAAAGGTGAAGATATCTGGGCTCTCTAAAAAAATGGAACAGGTTTGTTATTTTTTATTGACATTTCCCTCCTAATGGCATCTGAAAGCAGTAAACTGACAGCTTGACACCACTGTGTGCCACATCAATCAGGTAGGCTGGAGGCAAGAAAAAAGAAAAAATTAATTTCTTGTCTGAAGCATCTTAATGACTGAAACCCTGTGGGAAAGACAGGACAATGTAATGTATATAGTTGAGAGAAAAATGCTTAATTTCCATTAAAATGATGGGTAAAAAAAAGATATAAAATGCTGGGAAAAGAGAAAAAGAAACAGATGTCCACAATATTGTTAAAGGGAGACTGTTGTAGGTCAAATTTCATGTTGGAGAGCAAAGAGGAAACTTGCCATAGTGCTACCATTGGGCTGCCATCCTAATGTTCCTTGTAATGGATACATCTGTCAGGATGCAAGTAAATGAGGAATCAGACTCTCCTCAAAAGGAACAAAGCCAATTCCACTGAACAATTTGTTTTAAAAATTGGGGAACTGCAAGTGCAATTCAGGCACTCCAACACACATATATACAGTACTGTGCAAAAGTTTTAGGCAGGTGTGAAAAAATGCTATAAAGTAAGATCGCTTTCAAAAATATATTGTAATTGTTTATGTTTATCAATTTACAAAATGGAAAGCAAGTGAACAGAAGAAAAATCTAAATCAAATCAATATTTGGTGTGACCACCTTTTGCCTTCAAACCAGCATCAATTCTTACACTTGCACACTTTGTACACTTGCACAAAGTCAGGGATGAAGATGTCCAGCAGTGCCATCAGCACAGAATTGGCAGAAACCAGTGGGACCAGGTACACCCATCTATGGTCTGGAGAAGTCTGGCCAGAAGTGGTCTTCATGGAAGAATTGCAGCCAAAAAGCCATACATCCGATGTGGAAACAAGGCTAAGTGACTCAATGATGCATGAAAACATAGGAACTGGAGTGCAGAAAAATGGCAGCAGGTGCTCTGGACTGATGAGTCAAATTTTGAAATATTTGGCTATAGCAGGAGGCAGTATGTTGACTGGAGAGTGGTACAATAATGAGTGTCTGCAGGCAATGGTGAAGCATGGTGGAGGTTCCTTGCAAGTTTGGGGCTGCATTTCTGAAAATGGAGATTTGGTCAGGATCAATGGTGTCCTCAATGCTGAGAAATACAGGCAGGTACTTATCCATTATGCCATACCATCAGGGAGGTGTGTGATTGGCCCCAAATTTATTCTGCAGCAGGACAACAATCCCAAACATACAGCCAACGTCATTAAGAACTATCTTCAGCATAAAGAAAAACAAGGGGTCCTGGAAGTGATGGTTTGGTCCCCACAGAGCCCTGATCTCAACATCATTGAGCCTGTCTGGGATTACATGAAGAGACAGAAGGATTTGAGGCAGCTTACATCCACAGGAGATCTGTGGTTTGTTCTCCAAGATATTTGGAACAACCTACCTGCCAAGTTCCTTCAAAAACTATATGCAAGTGTACCTAGGAGAATTGATGCTGTTTTGAAGGCAAAGGGTGGTCACACCAAATATTGATTTGGGTTTTTCTTCTGTTTGCTC